CTTCAATAGGTAACATTTTGGCTTGAACAAGGTCTGGCAGACAGCCTACACATTGCCTTTTTAAGATCTCCACGAGGACCAATTTTTTCTAGGTCCTAGTAGTGGGAGAAGGGTGGGTTCCAGCTCAGCATTATCCTATAGCGTTGCAGTTTTTTTCTTAAAATAAGCATCAGACATGTCGCTGTTCTTCGAAGATCACGGGATAGCGTACAGGGCCAACCTCTGGTTAATTTTCTTGCCAATGTTGGCCTTATCTCATGGCTTATATTGACCAAAGTTTCAACTTTTCAATAATTTTTTGAGCCTTTTTGGCTGTCACTATCGTGTTGTATTTAAAGTTGCCATTGACTGTATGGTTAACTTTATTCTTACAAAAGTTTTTTTTGGAGATTTTGGAGGGTTCTCTTCATTCTATCGCCATTTAAGACGGGTTCCCACGAGGTCTCTCCATTTTATCGCCTCCCCTTGGATCTCCTCATCTACTATGGCATTATTCTGGGGAAAAGTAGCCCGACCTTACTCCCGACCAAAGACTTCATTTACCAAATCAATTCCAAGCGGATGTTTGGAATGCAGTTTAATATCGACTAATGATTGCTCTCGTTTTTGAAATTGTGTTGAAAAGTGCTAAACAATTAATTGTTCATCGGTCGAGGCCTAGCGGTCATTTCGATCCACTTGGGCACCCTGATCCTCCAAGCACGAAGTAGAGAGGCAGTTAGATAGTTTTGCGCAAATCATTGCACTTGTTTTCAATCGGAACTGTATGCGCTTTACATGTCAAGTTTTGGAAGTTATGAGAAAATTAATAAAAGTACATGTGCCTCACCAACCTCGTGGGGGCAAAAGCGCAGACTTCCGTTTTGCCTGACCCCAAAAGCCCTAGCATAAATCGCGATGCCCTTGGAGGGCAGTGGTGGGCGCAAAAGACCATATTTCCATAGAGGAAGTTTGAATTACCATGGGACCGTCATTTTGCCGTTGTGTGTTGATATGCACAATCAACCCTAACTCCTCCTCAAATGCCTTTTAATTTCAACAGATCGTGGGTCACCTCAAGGTTAGTTTACACGGTTATATAATTACTGTGATGAAGTTTCTTGATTTGCAATCTATTACTTTTCCCCCATCAGTCTTCAGGTATCACCTTTTCATTTCACAATGCCTTTTTTTAAACTGTCACTTCAATTCTTTTACATTTACTTGTCAAGCTCGCATTGGTGTTACGCTTTAAGTGTCATCATTTTGATTCATTTGTTGAACTTCGTCCTCTTCCTGCAGTGGCAATTAATGTTAAATGAAACTGCTAACATCACCGTGCCTACAGAAATGTGGAATTTCGTGCTTTCAGTAGCATGAAAAGCGTTAAGAATAGGATTGATTTAAATATAGCAATCTTAAATGGTTTCTCCAAATAATTCTGTTTCGTAAACACCAACATCACTTCGCATGATCATTCCTTTATTTTCGATTACCGGTTTTCGGCCTAAACGCCCATTGGTCTCCAATAAGCACTGGAATGGTGAGTGGTATTTTAAGAATTAGTAGGCCTTCTTCATTCCTCAAATTTGCTGTCCACTTTTTGATCAAGTTGGCTGATCCAAGCGTGCGTGCGCACACACACACACACACACAAAAGAGAGTGGCTCGACTAATCTGCGCTTCTCATTGTGCTTTAGCTGCCTCATTTAAACTTCGGATACGTTTCGAAAAATTCGTCAGGATTGCTGTAAATTTTTATCTAGTTCCACCGACGGGTTCCTCGTTTGTTCGTCCTGAGGAGTCGTTGAAGTCGAAGGGCATTATGAACAGCAACCTTATAGAGGAGGAGAAGGAGGGTGCTGAACCCCTGGTCGACACTGCTGAGGTGGAATAGTCGCAGAGTGAGTTCACTCTACTCCCTTTCGGTTCCATTTCTCATTGAATCTTCACACCTTGTTGAAAATGTATGGTCAAATTTTGAGGCAGCACAAGGAGGGTTTCGGCGTTTAGCTTCAGTCTTCCCTTTGAGGATCATTGCCTTTGTCTATAGTGATCATTCCCGATGATTTTAGAATCAATCGTAGACTAGGTTACTGAACAGACAGTAGTACAGATTTTAGACTGTCAATTGCCGGTATTATTTGTCACTTGAAGCTACGCCTGACGTTCTCAGCCCTATTGCGGTGGTTCTACGTGGGTCGCATTAAAAGTCACTAGTATCTCTGGGAAAGGAGGTTATTGAGTAATTCAGTGGTTAATTAATGTGAGGATTCATTCCTGTATCCGCTTTAGTCTATTATGGCAAAGTTAGTAATTCCTTTAACTCGACACCTAACTTCGTCGCTGTCGTGAGGCATAGCGGCAACTGAAGGGTGCAATATCGGTCACGTCTCGATGGTATTGTTGGTGCTATTCCCATTGCTATTTGTTTGTAGAGCGTTCGGATAAATCACTCCTTCTTACGTCTTGCCGGCAAGACGTTTATGTAATATTCAGAACTTAAATTTAAGTTTATGAACTGTGTGAATAGTGATTGGTGAGGGTAATCCGTATGCCCGGTCTATCACTACTGCTCTCAGCCATTTCCTCCGATCCCGGAATGTGTCTTCTCTGCTAATTACCCAGGGGACAGTTTAACTGTACTGTACCAGTCGACATCCCCATTTGAAGACGCCGCAGTGCCTCTAGAATGCGGCCTTAGGTCGTCAGAACTACGGAGGCTGAGTGATAATGCCACCCAGTAGCTTGATGATTGTGGAAATCATGGACCGCTCCCATGTTCACTTTGGTTCTACAGACTAATCAGTTTTGTTGATTTGGAGAAGCACTGTTCGTCACTTCGCATTCAACCCTAAGAACTTATGTAAGTTGGATTCGCTGAAGAGGCTGTATTGTCAAATGCATTGCATCCGTTTTTTGTTTTTCCTTTTCAAATGCGAGCTATATAAACAGGCTGAATTTATTGTCACAATATCGGCCGAACGCCGGTACATATTTGGTGTACCTTACAATGGTAAGCCTTCTAGGCGTCACCTTGGCGATTTGTTTTAAGTAATCCAGGATTTTTTCCCATTAGCATCTTTGTTGCCTCTACATCGTTTTTTTGCTACTTTGTTCTCGGCGGAAAAGCACAGTGATACAACGTCGGGAAGCCCTGCCATGCGACGTTCTACAGGTCAACTCTTTCTCTAACAACCATGTCTTTGTTATGCCCGATTGTTCGCACCAATACTGTAGTTAAACGTTATAACAAGTATCATTACTATGATGTCAAGACTACCAATCGTGCAACTTGACGGAACCTGAAGTCAGTAATAGACGCCAACGACCAAAAATCAGTGATTAGGAAAATTTGGCAGTGAGAAAAGCGCTTGGCCAATTAAACACATTTAGCTCCCCTTTGGATGTTACGAAAGCTCAATGTCCAGGTCAAAGTTATTTTTTTTAGCTTAAACAAAGCCGTACTTCATTTCTGCCGCTTAAAGTCTGCCTTTTGATGGTCATATTTAGGTTCTCAAGCCCATGATTTCGTAGCAATTCCACAATTGTTTTGTCGGGATACCCGCGCCAACACCGACCTTCGATTCTAGGCTGCTCCAATCTCTAACCGTGCTGCCACTGACAACTAATTTAGTGGGTATCCACCCCACCATTTTTCACATTTTGTGCCTACCGCATTGACACTGTAGGCCCTCTAGTAACAACGCTTTTCTGTCCCTTTGTCTCCCACACTTGATTGTTCGCTACTCCCATCTCTCTTTGAAATAATGCTTCTTTTGCCCCGCTAGCATTGTAATATTTTGTTACCATTTGAATAAACGTTACACTGAGCTGATGCCTTCATCAACCTTAGACCACACCCAAGGGAATTGGCGATGGGACACAGTGGGTAACTTTACTGGTAAATGATCAGCTCTCAGAACTATCTCGGGAATAGAGGTCATATCCAATTTGAGAATGAGTCAGATGGCTGTCTGGCTGGTTAATTAAGCAGTTTTTTACATTATGGGCCGCAGTACGACTAACCAAAGTCAGAGGTTGCTGAATTCTGGGGCTCAAATCTACCGATTAACATGCGTTTCTTCGCATAATAAAAAACCCAGATCCTAAATGACGGCGAAATAAAATATTAGACTTTGTCAAAGTCCCCGATAATGTAGTCAGAAACTTTCCAAATCCAACGGAATTTTATCCTAACTCGGTGCTCTTACCATACAAGTTAATACTTATCATGTTACAGGGCGAATCGAGCTAACATGAGAAGCAGATAGCCAGCGTTGTCTGAAGCTGTAGCCTCCCGAGACTTCCTGTCGGGTGGACGAAGGCAGTAGGTGAAGCCGGATACATGTATTCCAAGGAGGACAAAGTAACTAGGCCTAAGCATGGCCTGAAGCCAAGCCCACATAAAAGTGTATTGGCTCTCACCATCTCAAATATAAATTAGGTCCAAATTCAATCAGACAGTTAGGTTAAGTGGAGCGAGGAGCAGAGAAGAATAAGTAAGTAGGTACTACGATAAACTGGATCAGTGAGATCATTTAAGATTTAATCAAAATAGGACACAACTTCTTTATAAATTAAGCTTCATTGATCCTAATATCATTAAGTTGACAAGTAATTTGGTTACTGCGAAAACAAAATAAACTCTCCTTTTTACAATAATTATAAAAAAACCTTTATGAGTCGGCCTTGAAGTCTTGTTTAATCAAGTGCTGGAGTTTCATGCTTCGCCCACCTGGCTCTAGGTTCTAGCTTGTCTGTGGGCGGCGGGTTGTGGTTTTCTCTCCAGATTTCATCCTTGTTTTTATTAAGCCTTAACAACCACTCTATTTTGAGGCCACTTGCACCTGTTTTTTCCCAAAAGTTTCGGCTCTCAAATCTGTCTTGTGTTTTTGTTACATAACCTCCTCAATTTGTGCTTGATTATACATTCTTTGTTGCTATGGCCTTTACCGTCTGTCTGTGGATTCGTTATCGGAATATCGGTGTTTACGAAACTTTTTAGTCCCAAGTCACGGATGTCCAAAGACGAGCAATCAGCTTTAAAGGAACGCCTGATGACCTTTCCTGTGGAACCTTTTAACGACGAGACGAACATTTATCCCTACTACGTCATTTTTGCAAACGGTGGTGTTAAGGTGATCTACCTTTCCTTTTGCTCATAATTGCGAATGCAGGTCAAAGTTCCAATCGCTGTCGACGCCAACACATATTGTTGCATCCAAGAAAACTCATCTCTTTTCCTCGAGAAGTTAAAGGATCAGTTGTCCACAATGTTTCCGAAGACGTTGTCAGAAGATACTTCTATGTCGCCGAGGCTTGATTCGAAGAAGTCTTATATTCTTGTTTCCGATACGTCAAAACAGGTGTCTGATTTTGTCCTTTTAATGTTTCCCTTTTTAAAGCCCTTTATAGGCTTTCTTTAAGAGAGTTGTCTTTTAGTGTGCGTGGATTTTTTAGTGTTTTTGCCGCTTCAGGATTTGGCACTTGTGAATCCCAGTGAACATTCAATAACCAACTCGTCTTTCGATGAAATGAGGAATTTTCAAAATGAATTTAGAAGGATCCGATGCTTCTATGGTAAATTTATTCATATAGCCTGCTACACAGCCATGTTCTTCATAGCTACCAAAGGCACCTTATTTTCATTCTATGGGTGCATATCCTAAACTACCTTATTTCCCTGCTCCATGGAAGTAATATAACCCATAGTCAAACTCATAGCAGCATACTACTCTCCACAACAAACTTACTAGGCGAGAAAAATTCGTGCTATGTGGATTATATTCGTACTATTCTCAAGGTGAATAGCTCATATTGAGGGCTGTCTGTCTTATTGATGGTAGGCTTGACCTACAGTGACGTGGCACAGTCTCTTTCGGACTGTTACAAGGTCAACCAGTCCGCCTACATGATTTATCGTCTTGAGAGATGTTCTTTGACAGCTTGGAAGCATTCGCAAGTTCTTGCTCTCATTCGACGTTGGATGGCTGACATGAAGACGCCTAAACGGCGAGCTCGCCTTTTTCCACCTTGGAAGCTCAAACAATCCCTTTTAATGCGATATGTGAGTAATTGTTCACCGAATTAACTCTTAAGTCAATTGCACTGCATTTTTACCTCCTATTAAGTACATTAAAGCACCTTTTTTTGTGCCAGGAGAAATTGGGCGCTAAATCAATTACCTTTACTAAGGATCAACAGGCGGAAATGGAGAAGTTCTATACGAAAGCAGGTTCTATTAATTTTTTTGGTTTTTTTGCCACCTGATAAATGTGTAAACGGTCGGTGTTTTGGTCTTTCTAATTCTAGAAGAATAAACCCTGCAATGGCGATTTAAAAGAGCTGAAGCAAAAATTAGGCTTGCAAGTCTGGAAAATTCGGTATTGGTTACGAGAAAGGGAGTTGCTGGACGAGTACGGCTAGAAGACCTGCCATGTATGTACATGTATGTATTTTTTAAAGTCAGAGTTGTTTGATATTTTTACTGTTTTTATTGCTTTACGGGTCTTTTGACATCTTCGGTGCGGAGGAAGACTTTGGCTTCGAAATATTTGATTCTCTCCGTCTTTAATGTTTCTATAACGACCTCAGGAAAAAAAATTAGTGCTGTTTTGATGGTATCATTAGGACAACTCCATTCGCTTAAGGAATAGATCTGACTTCCTCGATGCGCCTGTCACAGGCTAAAACAGCCGTTTAATTTGTGGAGCGACACAAGGAGCCATTGAAATGTATGTGGTCTTTGAGTCGAACTAATTGTTTTGATTTGAGGATATTATCCTTAACTTCCTGGTACTACTTTTTGAGGAGAATTCCTGTGATAGCTGACTGAAACTCAGAGTATGGTTGCTAGAGGACATGGCGCTGTCTGTATCACCATCATTTCAGTGGATTCTTCATAGTGCAGTTGGTTCCAGTTCTCGAGAAAGGTGTTGGGAATACTTATGGTTTTTTCGAGCATTAGTGAAAATTCTAGAAACCAATCGAGGCATCACGTAATCATTTTCACCATGAATGTTTATTTGCACATTAAGCAAGCCTCTTACCGGACCAAATGCCCCAGGATGGTTCCGAGAAGTTAATTAATTTATGCAAAACCATTGACCTTAGCAGTGTTGATTGACATTATCATTATTATTAAACAGGATCGGGCAAATTTAATGTAACAGATTTTATCACTTTATCCATCTGAATTGGAATCAAAGGGTTATTTGTTCGTATGTTTATTCAAAATTCTCTGTTTACTTGGTTAGCCTGGATGTAAAAAAAGTTCGACTGTCTCTCCGCTTTCCGACTTCAACTTGCTCAAAGCTAAGGGCAAGCACAGATCTACCAACCATTTCCCCCATTCATCCTTTAGCTACAGTGCCGGTAAAGTGCAGAGAAAACAACCTGCAAAAAAAGTGTTTGGCACGCCCTTCTCATCGTTCCATGATAACTAACTGAGTCAATGTAATGTAACTAAGCGGATGGTTGAGATTACCAATGCATGGTGCAGTGGAGTGTTTTCGTTCTGCGAGATTAAGTAAAAGCCTTTTTCACTTGACTACAAAGCAACCCATAGTCACGACCTAAGAAGTCAAAACCACTCAATAAATAGTTGTTTCGATAAATGGCAACAGAGTAAGATGCACGGCATAGATAGAGGCTGGCATTTGAATGGACAACATCAAGGAATACATGAAAAGTTTCCCTCTTTTCTGCATCCTGTTATTCTAACTAAGGTGACTCGACGTAAGGACACTCTGGGGGGTGCACCATTCCAAATATGTTCAACTCATAGAGGCTGCAAGCCACGAGGAAGAGAAGGTAGGTGATCATCAACCCCACACCGTAGAGTTTAGTCAGTCTCCAGCGGTTTAAGTGCGTTGCGCCAAGAAGAATCAACACGGTGACGAAGAGAGTCAGTGTGGCATAGGTCAGGCCTGCAAATAGAAGTGGCGGATGATAGTAGCCGAGGATTTCATGAATGATGGACAAGGCGTTACCTTGAGAGTAGATTTCCACGGGCCCGCCAATAACCATACTGCGTACCAACCAGGGAAGTCCCATGCAAACGAGGATATCGAAGATATTGCTTCCTACCGCGTTGGAGATAGCCATGTCACCCTCGCCTATAAATTCACTCAGAAGTCAGTCCTGTCACTTAAATGATTAAATTCTAAAGTTATTGCCACTTAAAGCCCATGTACTGGTGTGCGACATCAAAGCCACTGGTAGCTCTTCTGATCTCCGTGTCCGATTATAGCTGATGCATTTGACTGCATCTCTAGAGAATTCCAGTATAAGGATTGGAAATAATGCCTGTCTCTGGCAGCGACTCCAAACTCGTGTCCAGCAAGAAGGACTAATGAACGAAGTAACGCCAACAAATCTGCCTTCCTCCCCACACCGTACAGCAAATAGGTAGGGAGCCACTTTGGTTACGCTTGAAGTACCAAGGTGTATCATCAAAGCTGGAATCAAATGCCCTCCCGGCTGCATGAAAATTTGATGAACTACATTCCTGCCTCGTGGGTGCCTAAAAAGTGGCCTATGTTATTATGTTGGCGGGTCAGGAGAGTAGAAGGGTATGCTGTACGTGGAGCTAAGTCAGTGTCGCAGATTTTGTGTGCTGTACTTCGCCCTGCGGTGTTGCCATTTGGCCGAGCCTATAGCCAAGCAGTCCTCCCGTGCGTTAATAATAATAATAATAATAATAATTCTTTCTCTGAACTGACATGGCTCTCGATTTTCCACACTGACAAAAAATATTGCGCAAGAAGTCTTTTGCTCAAAATTTTCCGTGTGAACCGTCTGGAACTGTTTAAATAAAAATAACCAACAATGCTAATGCTACTAATGTGCGCAAGTTAGTAGTTCACAAATAAATAAATAAATCAATTTTAATACCGTGTTCGGTAAAAACGATCGTATCTAAAGTATGCGAGCTTCGCGCGGTAATGCTGCTGCAGCTAAGTTCTGGTGATCAGTCCTCTGCTGAGCAGTAAGTATTGGAATGGAGTGAATAAAAAGTGAGTAATAGGAGAAAATTTACCTTCACGAACCACAATAATGGAAGTTATCGCATCAGGAACGCTGGATCCAGCAGCTATGAACGTTAGTCCCATAATCGTGTCTGGAATCCCCAAGGTCACACCTAAAACAAGATATTTTTTGTTCAATAAGCTTGGTGCTTTATGGAGAATGGTGGCAAGGAGTTTATTCCTAAGTAGTCGGCCGTTTAGCTGTACTTTCAGCAGCAGCAGGACCAACGAAATCCTCCGTTCTGCTCACTATCTAGGCTGCCACATAATGACGTCCAAGAAGAATTTGGAGACTCACCTAGGACAAAGTTTTGGCGGAAAATTTGCCTAAAGCAGATAAAATAGCTCAATCGCAAGCGTTTTCTTCGGAGCATTCACAAAAGCAAAGTGGGATAGCCATGATTCAAAGTACCGTTTCGCAAGTTAAACAAAAATGGAACCGCAACTACGTCAAACTAAGTGAACTCAAATAAATCTTGTAGATGGACTTTAAAAAAGCTTGGAATTTGTTGTTCCTTGCCACTAGTCTGTAGAACTTGCTGTTTGTCAGTGCGAGGACTACTCCACCTATGGGGACGTCAGAGAAAACTTAGACACCACTTTCAGTAGATAAGGTTAACATTACCACAGAATTGAAGTTGAACTTCCAGGGTGTCTCGAAGGTTGATGGACAAAATTTAATCCTGATTTGAGTGGTCCTTGAACGCAAGAATTAAGAGTAGCAAAACATGGGAGGTCAACTGATGACTGCAAAAATAGCCAACTAACGGCTTGCTGGCTAAGAGGTAACAAATCGAAATGGGGAAGATCTGCAAATAAACGGGAGGATAAAATGAGAAAACATCAATTTCAACAAAATCCCGGTAATGAAATGGTTGCCGTCCTATTACTAATTAGCTCAAGCTACAAATTCCAAAAAGATCCGCCATGCCTACTCTTGCACTATCGCCAGACTGACAGTGACCTCTTCACCAGAAACACTCTTAAAAGCGGCTTGTGTTGGAAGTTGTATGCCTAAATCGAGGCAGACAAGCAAAACAACTCGGATTTCTGCGGAGCCCTTCTCTAGTTATGAAATGCGACAAACGAATTGACGTAGGCAAGACAAAGAAAACACATATTTGCTTCTCTGTCACCAGTTGAGATGAGAATCTTGTAATATATACTAGAATGTTTACGTCGACCTTTATAGAGGAAGGATGGGAAGCGAATTCGAATGCGAATCCGGTGCGTGAGGGTCGTGAGGAATCCCTCTCCAGATGATTTCTGCTATTTGACTCATCTGTACTCCTATCCCCGTTCTTCATGCATTAGATGCCTAGTAAATCTACTGCAACTAACCCTCTCTTGAAGTCCGAGTTTCAAGGACATGAGGGTAGACAGGCAGTTCCTACAGAATCTGTCTACTTTACCCGACTACTTCGATGTTCCTGCAAAGCAATTAACAACATGATTTGGCATTAATAATTATTGAATGATTTTCATGAATCGCAAAGAATTACTGCGTATTCTGAGTTGATGAGAGGCGATCAAACAAAAATGAATGAGATACTCTGCAGCATTGCAGAGTGGGAGGGGAAAAAGAAAGCATTATGAAAAAAAGGAGATCGTTGCGTAGATTAACCAATCCAACTACTACCTAGATGCCTCATTATGTGGCAGGATGGAGAGTGAAGCGCATTCCTATCGTCCCCCTGCCCTGGCAGTAGATTTGCTTGTTTACAAAACGAAACGAAAAAAGTGTAATGCTTTACAAAATCATGATTTTTCCTCACCGCAGTAAAGTTGAGACCCAACCTACCGACAACTGTGATCATCCACATCATAAAGATGGTAAATACACCAATCCAAAAGCAGGAGACCAGAAAAGCGATCCAATGGCCTTGCCAACGCCGCCATCGTGGAGATCGACTGTCAGGTGTGGTGAGACAGAGGCATAAGCGAATGGGCCAGACAAGTATGTAGTAGGCCCACCGCATCATTGATGTCCCCTTGGGTGGGAAAGCTAGAGGCGCGAGACATATTTGGGCAAATGTACGAGGATCCGAGTCCCCTGTGACGCCATCAAACAGTTGATCCTTGGCTTGAGGAGTCGGCACGATAGCTGTCTCTGGATCACCGCGGGGTACCACAGTGATATCTGTGAGGAAGTTTAACAAGTTTACCATTAACAGGTTCCAGTGAACACTTTCAACGGTGGATTTTAATACAAAAAGATAATAACGTCATGACTCATTGCGTATCATTGAATGTCAAACCTCCTAAAGTGTGCCAAAAATTACCATTAGCATCAGAAGCAGGAGGCAGAGAAGTAATCACCATCTTCCATCCTGATATGACAACAAAGAACTTTTATGTCTCTACACCCAAGCTGGGAAATGTAATCTCCTCCAAACCAAGATAAGTCAACGTCAATTTTATTGTTTACAGGGTAATAAATGTATTCGCCACATAATGTGGCGCAAGTGGTTCCACACGTCACAACAGCGTGACGCTGAAGTAAGAATAAGAGAATTGGAACATCTACAAACAGGTGGATTTAGGGGGAGAAAGTTGGACACTTTTAGCATTTCATGGGATTGAAGTTTGAGGTGAGCTAAAAGTCCCTAAAAACTAACCAAAGAAAAAGCAGGATCGGAGAGGAAATCTTCTAAGGCTGCTTTATAATCCACTTTGTAAGGAACGACTGATATGTCGATGAGAGTCTAAGGGTGACGTCGTAAGGGATTTCGACCTTACTACTGAATATAAAAGTCTAGCAGACCTTAACAAAATCAAAAACAGTTCTCGCACTTCCTCGTTGACTGAATTTCATTTCGTTGGATCTACACGAATTGATCCTCTTGAGAAAGCTTCTAGCTCCCCACAGAAGAACATTGCTGAGGCTTGGCACGGGAACTTATTGATAGCCAGTAACACCAACAAACTTAAATTCACGAGTTGAGGATGCACAATTAAACACACGAACCAGTAGGAACTTTGAACCTGTTTCTAATACGTTTAGTCACGCTAATATTAGGGAGTTCTCATAAAAAGGGCAATAAATAAGTCTTCCATGAAAGCTATAAACATGCATCAGAAGCAAACCTCACCTTCAATGACTTCATGGGAGCTCAGATGATGCCTGACCTCAGACTCATCCGCCTCCAATCGAGAGTAATTAGCCAGGGGTGTTTCAGAAGCCTGTAAACCCACTGCCTCCCCATGCTTGCCACCGAATTTGCCCGAACTCTGTGCTGCAATCTCTACACTACTGACCTCATCGTGTAGCACTCGAGGACAGATGTTGCGATGGGAGAGACACCAAGCATTTAGTAGTAAGTCCAGACGTCGATTGAAGTACATTAGGGAAATGTATAAACCATAGAAGATGAGTAGAATCAGAGCTTCGTACCTAAGATTAGGATGCAACCAACAGTTAGTGATAGGGAGACGCCAATGTGCCACCGACCGGAAGCCTCTGCCCGGTAGTAATGTGAATCGACAGAGCAGACAAGAAGCCCTGGAAATCGTCTTCGCTGCCTGCACCTCAATCAAGCAATAACAATTTTTGATTTCTATTTTAGTCAACTTTTCTGGAGAGTGACTTAGGTGTTCACTCAGGTTATAGCCTTGCATTATTTTTTCCCTTATTTAAGAGTCAATACCGTAAATGCTTGATTGCCATATGTCAAGAAAGGATGACAATTTCTTAAGGAAATGTAAGAACAGTCCAGGTGATGAGAGTAGCTAAGTGCTTTTCATTACTATTAAACGGAAGCCTTCCTCCCAACAGGCTTTATGGCCTATAGAAGGTAAGAATGCATCTTCACAATGAGTTCCCCAAAGCCTCTCTAGAGCGGTAGAATTTTGGCAGTTAAGCCTCAGTAGGTGAATGTTTCCAAACACAAAGTAGTATTTTTTCTAGAAACGTAGATTAGGAGAGGTTAGTCAGGAAAGCAAACTTTTTCTAAAGGTTCGTTGTCCAAAGTGAAAGGCATGTAGATCAGCGAAGTGGAAAATGCCTTTTTGTTTGTTAGCATTCATAATGACTTCCCCACCTAGAGTGATGCAGGAAAAAGCTCGCTATACCATTCTCCGCGTTGACGATTGCTGAAAGGTGCATTGTGGGAGGCGTCCTAAGTGGCCATCAATGACCTCCTCCGAGTTTGAACTTGCATGCCAATAGGGTCGTTCGTCATCGAAATCACGGTACTCGTTTAAACCCCTTGTGAGCGGTGCTTCACTTCGCCTCCACACACCATATCGGCTCCAAAATGATATTTCGTAGCTCAACAACTCCAACCACGTCTATCAAATGCTCAACCAAGATTTCTTACACATAGGGGATCACATTGACATTGACATGAGTATGAATAGCTTAGCTTATTCGACAAGTGTCCACACCTTCAGGAGATGCACCAAACTTGTATGCGAATATTCATTCACTCAGACTTAGTTATGTGTGAGTTGCGTGTTGTTCGGGTTTTATGAGTACACAACACACCAAATAGACTTACCAATAAACTTTTTCATCCAAGATGACCAAAGCCAGAAGGCTAATGGACACAAGATAGAAGATGGAGTCCCGAACAAGGGGCCACCAATTGAGGTATATTATCTATAATCGCAAAAAGTGAATTAAAAGAGATCTAGAATGGCCTTTGGATAAAGCTACATTATATTGACGATGACGCCTAAGGTGCATCGAATTCTGTTGGCAATGATTCGGAGGCTGATCTCAAAAAAGACTCGCATTTGGAAGATTGTGTAGGTTTGGAAGTATGGAAGTACTTTTGAAGAAGAAAAGAAGATAAGCAACACACCTCTTTACTGAAAAGTGCGCAAACACTGGTAACGAACATGACATTGAAGTCGGCTGAACCGACCACAGCTCCCAGACCGATGTCATCCTAAAATAGGATAAAAGATTTCCCATCCAAAGCGCAATCAGAAATGCGTGAGACTTGTTAGCGGATTGTTAATGAGATGGAACGAGAGTGAACGTAACAAGTGAAATTTCGTTCAAAAGTGCCTAACCTCTTAAAAAGAACGCATAGAGGAGAAACCGGGATATTGAGCAGATTTTCTTAAATTTACCGGAAAAATTGTATGCCTAATTTTGGATTTTGGTGATGAGCCACCTAGAGCCGTGCCAACAGCACAGGCCCTTCTGTACAACTAGACCGCCTGTAGGGGACTAAATGCTTACTGAAACAGCAAACTTAAGGAGACCAGAATATCTTTGACAAGGTGTAGTTACCCTTTTGAGGATCTGCACAGCAACAATTCACGGTTTTACAAGATGGAACTCGAATAATGCACTAAGCATCTTTATTCTGTAGTTCTAAAACAGCAATTAAGTTATCCCGACGCCATTTTGGCTATTGCTTTGCAAGTTACTTCAATGAAAGTGCGTTGGTTTCGCCAGAGAGTCACCTTGTGGATCTTGAATAACCATATGCCATTCCCGTGAAGGAAAAGATATAGTTCCACAGAGGGAATCGAAGCAAGGCAAACCATTATCAATGTGAGGAGTTGCAGTAGCAACCTTGGTTGGCGAGGGAACAGCTTGTTTAGCAAAATGTCCGCTAGTCTGACCCATACTTGTCATTTTGAGTTTGTGTATAGTACAAAAGGACCAGCTTTCCACTTTTGAAACAGTTAAATAAGGTGAGAAACTATTGTAGCTGAGGTCTAGGAAAAGCTAAGAAAAGTAGAGAAGAAGCTAGTTGCAATGTATATCAACTAAGGGCTTAATTAAAGAAATAATTTTCATCGTTTGAGCGGCAAAGCAGCCTTAAAGTTAGGGAACACAAATCTTGCCCAAACTCCGATGAAAACCGTGATTTAAGTGGTATTTTCCAATAACTTGTCCTATTAATACTTATTGAATCTTTACTAAAACAATGTACTACCAAAAAGGGACCGTAAACTCAGTGCTACTGAATAAAATTTAGCTCTTGCTGACAAGCGTTAACCTTGAGAATTGCTATGCCTAAAAACTCATTGTCAAGCACATTTAAAGGCTGACATTCCGAGTATATACTTCCCAGTTGCACAACCTCCGCCTTTTACAAACTACCCAGACACGAATTTCGCCTTTGGACGAAGTAACCGCGGGACCGCCTGCAGAAAGTGAGGTGGTAGTCTTACCCCATGAGTAGCATCATACTCCGCTTTTCACTCACAATATGCAAAACACAACGGCAAGAAGGTATGGTGAGAGATAAACTATCCCTTTGAGTTGAGCAAATACACTCACAGAGTAATAACGTTACCACTTTGATGAATGCATTAGTACCAAAAAAAGTACGATGATGAATCGACGAAACGCAGTAAACAAGAAAGCAGCAAGAAAACCAAAACGATTCTAGAAGCGGCAAATATTAAGTGATAACCTTCCTGTAGATGGTATTTTTTAAACTATAAGCTACGGGGCCATGCACTTAGATGAAACTATCAAAAAAACTGATCAGCGCCGGGAGGACAGGTGGATGGGGATGCGGATTTAGCATCTCATGCCAAACGTGTTCGATGGTAGAGCCAGGCATGACTTAATTGAGAAAGAGGGCAATAACCAATCAAACCTCAGCATGGAGTAGTTTGCGCCCAATTTAACTGTACACACGATTTCGAATATAAAGGCGAGCAGAGAAGGTGATTGTACATACCACGAATCCACCCGCGCTGAACTTCCATTGAAATCGATTAGTGGGCATCGAATGGTAGACAAGGCGATCGGCAGTGCACAGACTTTGGGGGAGAATGTGCACATGGAGAGACATTTTCTGACCTAACTGCATCCCTCATGACGCTAAATAGCTTGAGTTCACAACCCACACACATGCCTAGCTCATAAAGGAAGAGAGGATGGTGTCTTACAACATAGGGAAGGTAGTAGTTTCTGAGAAACAAAAACCTCAATATCTGTATCTGTTTGGAATGTTGTGGACTAAAAAAGTATTTTATTAAAATGAGTAGAACTCAGAGGTTTGTTCTTAAGGAAAACAGTCAATGACGCGCGGGAGCGGCTGTGAATTTACGCTTCCCTCCCATTTTCAATTTGTTAGACAAATAAAGGTTTTGCAAAGAAACAACGAAGTGAGTCCTGTGTTTTAGTGCTTTTGATCTTGACGGCAAATTATGTAGATGGAGAGCAGAAATGGGTAGAAAGTGTAATGAACTAGGCAAAATAGTGCTTTCCGGTGATGAAGGTGAGGTTTTGGGTCTGGGCCAATTAGCATTGTCCCTAGTGGGAGTTTGCGCTGCGCAGCAACGCATCAAGCCACAGCCCACCTCAAGCCCAATTCTCCAATCACTAAAGTCGGTAAAGCCTAAGTTCCGCCCTTCCAAAGTTAGATCTAATAAAACGACGAAAAAAGGAACTTTCAGATTATTAGGAGAACTCGAACCATTAAAAAATCTGATAGTGAGGAGGAAGATATTTGATACCAGACATAGAAAATGAACAATCCTCATAACTTATCCTGCAACCATTAGTCATTAACCCTTATCTCCACAATAGTGCTTCCCATACTTTGCTTAAAATTAACAGTTAACAGGTTTCTATTTGCGATAAACACGGAAAAGTCTAAATCCGTTTAGTTAAAAAAAGTTGATTGTCTTTATCCTTCGCGTTTTTCGAAAAGAATAAAGCAGCAGAAAGGAGCAAAAGTAGCAGCATCAAAACGTTCGCATGCATAAAAAATGATGATATAGAATCACTTTAGTGCGAAATAATCCCAACTTATTTGAGATAATGTAAATATTTACCCTTAGTTTGCTTAGTGTTTAGTGTGACCCCATTCCTCCTCCCGAGTATAACTTGTAGTAGATAAGAGAACTCACTCGAGCAATGAGTACACCGACAAGAGTCGTTGCCAGTTCAGGAGCCGAACTCCCAGCTGCCATAAAAGTTGCCCCTGCCACGTCCGGTTGCAGACGCAAGGCTAAAGAAGGATGCATAAGACCCAATACACAGACATCAATTACTAACCATCGCAGATGATCTCAAGACAAGGAATGAAGTAGTCATCGCAGACGATAGCTAATGCAAGGAACATGTAGGCGGATGCAAATATGTGGAGGATGACAAGACCCGATTTGCGCTGCTTTTGAGTAAACTGGTCGCGCGGGAAGTTTTCAATGGCTAGAGGAGTGCAATTGAGACCTTTAAAGGGGGGTTTAGCAGGGTTCATTAGAAGAAGATGACGTTCAGCCAGCTTTGGCTCATCTGCAGGAGAAACAATGAGCGAAAAAAAAATAGCAAACCTTGAACTTCAAAACCATCTCGATTTCGTTGTTGGTAATGAAGAATAATGGCTTTTGAGGTGTAGAAAAGGATAACTAAAGCAAGACTGATCATGCGGTATTTAAACCGTGATGACTTTGGATCCGTAACTGGCATTTCGAAGATGTATATGACACAAATATCTAAAAAGTAAAGTGTGAAACTTTTAACGCAAGGCAGAATAGAGATTTGTTAATAGTTAGGTCTGCCAAGTCTTAGCAATAAAAATGGGAACCAAATACAGTGGCACAAGAAACTTTTTAAAGGCCCGGTAAAAAACCACATTGATAAGAATCAAACAAAACCATTAATACTGCATAAAGCCATGCAACCGAAGGTCTTGCTCGGAGAAAAATAAAGAATGCGTACCATGATGCCAATGCAGGTACATTTAAAATCCGTCCAAAAAGGAACCTGATGATTTATAAAATTCTTACATTTGCATAAAGAAAGATAAACACCGCACTACTTTAGTTTTAAAATAAGGCGCCTGAAGTTATTGATTATTTTCACATTCAGAAAAGTGTTAAGCTAATAAGACGCCATAATGGCGGAAAACAAAGCATCATAAGACGAAAAAAATTCCATACCCTTACAAACTAGTAAATCAGTATTGCGACATAAAATTACGATCGAAACCAAATAGCAACCTAGAATAAAACAAGGAGGACATACGAAACGCAATAGGTGGAAAATCAAGCATCCAACCAAGCTACTAATTTAAACTTACAGGCAGCTGATATAAAAGCAAATCATTCAATAGTACTGGAGTCAAACAAAAAAAGGTCCCAAAAGTGGCTTCAGTAGGGGCTAAAAAAAGGCACAACTTACCCAAGATCACTTCATTAATGTAATTCATGTAAATTCTGGCAATGGAGAGCTATGTGTGTGATGCACGATAATGTGTACGTATCAAACATTAGTAAAAAAGCGCACAACTCATTTGCTACTTTTTAATTTACACACACGAGAACAGCAAAAACGGCTGAAACACACTCACCAAACCAGCATTATGCCCAGAAATGCGAATCCACCGCCAAGGTCGATGAGCTCATTTATTCTGACAATTAGCCCATTAAAAATAAAGTGCACAATCAAAATTAGATATCCTAAGAGCTGTTTATAGATTATTCATTGTTCTTGGCAACCCTTTAAAGCTAGGAATCTAGCCAGGTCAAAGTTACTGCGACAGTGACCAAAGCAAGTATATTTTCGAAAATCAAGAATACGTGAGTTGAAGAAACATTTAACTCTTCTAGACGATGTGACGATGGAGACTTCCCACCAGGAAAAGAGCAGTACCCAGCGCAAAAATCATGCCTTCTAGCAGGAGAAGTATGGGTATGGACTTGACATTACCCTAAGATTAGCCCACACGTACAAGTGCCAAACGCTTGCCAAAGCGGCCACCAGACATCAGGTTATTGCATAAACAAAGTACCACACCGCCTTGTCCTGGTGAGCGACGTTCTCGACGCTCTTCCTAATAAACCTACAGCATCAGACATCACAACATATCTGCAATCAAATGGAAACACCCACGAGACGCACACTCCAGTCATCGCTTAACAATAGGCTGAGGAACGGTATTAGTATCTCATCAGCTTCAAGAAGACCTCAAATTGCCTGCAGTTTGATAACAGGAATCCTGGCGAGGAATTTCTGTTGACTGTCCATAATGTTTTTGATTAGGCTTTGAAACAATGTTTTAAAAGACATGGTTATAATGAAAGACGGAGCCAAGAACAGTCCTCTAAGCACGGGGCCCAAAGTTATTCCTCTCGAATTACCTTTACTTAGATGTAGTGAGTAGGATTCCAAAATGAAGGTTATGCAATTTTTTCACGTTGTGCGGCTTTCGTAATTGATAGTAAGTAAGTGAAGTCAAATACGAAATTCATACTCAAACGTTTTGTTGTGTGAAATTCCGAGAGAGAGAGAGTAGCGTAACGAAAAATGTTTTCTAGCACTGCACGACTAAAAAGTATCGATTTGGTATGTAGCGTCCCGAGGCTTCCCATAGGGGGGAAGAAGGCATAAGTAAGCTTGAATACATGTATCCCGGTGACGACAGGGCATATGGGGTCTAAACGTGGCCTGAAAACCAGCATACCTGTACAAGATCCAAACAATTTTTTAAATTAACCTTAAAACGTCGGGAAGTCGCACAAACAAAGCATTACATGGTACTACCTATTAAACCGCAGAAAGCATAACTTTGAGCAGAATAAATGTATTCGGAGAGGGGTAGCCAAGATTTGGTTTGGTCTGAAATCTGAACTACAGATATTAGAAGACATCAAATCGTTGCGTCTGAAAATTACCTTACGCATTAAAAATTTAATATTTTTTGCAAATTAAAAAATCGGGTTTGTTAATATATTTTTTACAATTAGCAAATTAAAAAACAAAAACTACTTATTAATCGTAATTCCGTTTTGAATATCCGTTTCAGTTAATTTGCTTTAAAAACATTTTAGCATAGCGTTTGAACCCATCACAATTATGGCGGGTAAGTTGCGTGTGGGATTTAGAGCTTGAAAATTGCGATATGGCTTGATCAGTCATTACTTGATATTGTTTTTCTGTCTTGTTTAGACACAAAGTTTTGGCTCAAATTTTTCAATGATGCCGGACTTCCGAAAGAAACCTCCAAACGTTATACAAACTTGTTTTTTGAAAATCGCATAACCTTACAACATCTTCGTTTCCTTGATAAAGATCTTCTTAAAGAAATGGGAATCAATGCTGTTGGGGATATCATTACGATTCTGCAGTACTGCAAATCTCTTGATATTGATGTAATGTTTGGCTTTTGCGCTTGGTGATCCATGTTTATAGAAAATATCGGAAGCTCATGCTGATATTGTTGTTACTTCGACCACTCCGAACTCGGAAAAACCGTCCATCCTTCCTGGTCACGAACTGCCAGTTCCTTCAAGGCGCCGCGTTACGAGGGAAGTGGAGGGTCCTTACGTTGTTAAGCTTCCTGAAGGAAAGACCGAAAAAACTCGGCGTATCCTTAAAAAAATGGGTATTGCTATGGTATATAAGCTGTTACTTCTCGGCTTTAGCTGATAACGGGAATTTCTCGAATGAATCTTGCACGGTTTCGCAGCCTTTGCGCACTGTGGTAATCACGGCTTCTCCATCGTCAACCACCAACTCGGGTCCTGTTCAAGGATGTCCTTTTGATTTTGACGAAGAGAGTGATGATGATAACGAGGATTTCGAAGTCATTATATCAAGGTGGTTCTGATCTGTTTCGTCTTAATTCTTTTCAATGACGTTTACCTCTTGCTTGATCATGTCATTCTCTTTATGATTCTGTTTTGTGGACCAAACCTATTTCTCAAACTTCTCCCGATTCCGATTGAGTTGAAATTAATGTATCATAATTATCGTTTTTGATGCTTTAGTGCCAGTCCAGATGTTCGAACTGCTAATCTCGGCACCCGGTCCTGCGTTTCACGTCTCTCTGTCTTTGATCGCCTCGGTGCGGAAGTGCCTATTTCATCACCTACTTCCTCTGCTACATCAAGTGGCAAAACCACCATTGCTCGAGTTGTTGATCGCACCATCGCTAGCAATGCGGCAGAAGATGCTCGTCTTCGTCGCGATCCCGCTCGGACCGGCTCTCTAAAACGCTCCGTGAGTAGGCAATCAGCGCTTTTTATCTCTGAAGATTTATCCCCTTTTGGTTTATCGCTGACTCGACTTTCGTATTACTATCATTGTTTTCTTTTTGTGCTATTCGCGTTGAAAGGCAAATGAATCAATATTTGCTCGCTTGGGTGCTGCCGGCATCAAGACAGCGGAGGACGGGCCCAGTTTAGCCTACCAAGGTGTTTTAAAGCATCCCAGGATATCAGTGCCTAAAGCATTGTCACCATCGCGACAGTCACAACACGGTATTTCAAAATCTCCTTCCAACCCTCAAGCGCGTGTCTCCGCAAAGAGTCGCCTCGGCTTTGCTCCCTCCGCGCCTAGCCCCACTCTTGACCGATCGGCGGGCATCTTTGCCACTGAGTTGCCGAGACATGGCAAGTCCTTTAATTTTTCTGTTGCCTTTCCAATGCAAGGTATGGGGTGTGCACGATGCTGATCACTGCCACTCCAGCCTTTGAATGCAAATCACGTCAAATGACTTCCTTGGTGATACATCCACAAACGCCCTGAGTTGCAAACTGCTATTGCTATCGGAGTTTAGTTGGCGTTGGTGACCTGCACTTGCATTAGCTCAATAACTTCCTATGCCGACTGTATTGCTTGACATTTTCACCTAAAGCTGAAGCTGGTAGAAAAGACTGAATGCTGAAGGTTTGAGAAATTTTTTTTCATAGTTTTAAAAGCTAACGCTATTCATCCTGTAATTTACAGAACTGCAGAAGCGAGCTCCCAATCTCAATTTTTTGTGAACTTTTCATTGCCATTGTAATTTAGCACATGTACTTGACCTCATGCGACTCCGCTTCTCCATTGGATTTTTTTCTTTTAGTGCGTCAGAAGTTGGAACGGTTCTAACGTGCTCACATTTGCTTGTGGAATTCATTCTCTTCACTGCACCCTTGATAGTGGTTAAACTGTCGCCGCCTCTTAAATGTAAATATGTCCACCTCTTAGGCAGAAAGAAATTTACCAAATCTAATGAAGTTTGTTCACAATCTCCTGGGTAGGAAACTCCCCCTTCGAGTACTGTCTTGGTTGTTAATAACCTTCGTCAACCAATCTACCTAACCGTTTGTTAATTCGACGGGAACCAATATTAATGTAGACTTCGAACATCCACTATACTTAAATGCAAAGCTTCGAATATGCTGTCAAAATATGTATATATATCACTAGAATGGAGGAAGCAAAAGGTCTCATTGTCAGTGTAATAATGTTGGGGAAAAAGGTGCAAACAGCATTTACTCGGTCTGGTCGAGAACAGGGAAGGCCAGAATGGATTTTCGAAGGTATGAAAAATCAGGAAGAAGTGCCAATACCTTGGAGACACACTCGGGAACCTCGGCTGCCTTTGTAGCTGCTGCTGTTTTCGACTTACCCACGTAGACGTCGAAAGGGCGAAGGGTGATGGGTAAACTTTGTGTAGGGGTTGTCTGAGGGGGTGGCGCGACAGAGTGAAGGAACTCAGCTTCTATGTCTAAATGAATATTCCAGAGAAGGATAGAGGTTTTGAAGGTGGGAAACGATGCATAAACTATTTTAAAATTCAACGATGTGACTCTGGTTTTTGACATGTTCAACGTTTTATCGGTAAGGCTGAATTTGGTAAGATGCGAGCTTGAACTATTGAATTGTGCATGTGAGGAAAATTTAAAAATAGACGGACCTGATATGGGAGCAGGTGGTTTTGAGGTAGCAATGGAGGACATCTCTTCAAACGATTCTAAATCTGCTTCAGAGGCCGAATGGACGCTACTTTCTACGGATAATAAAACGGGGAGGATTTGTATTGATAGTCCAGAAGGCGTTCAATTTGCATTATTGTATGGGCTAAGTATTGGCCCAAATTAAAAGCATCAAAGGAAATGAAAAAAAGGAATTGCCATGAAGTGAGATCATTAAGAACGAATTGGTTCTGAGTATTATCCAACAAATCTAACACATGACTGTCGGAATAACTTGAATCTCACCTAAACCGAAGGGATTCGTTAGTCCACTCGCAGACCAGTCAAATTCAGGTATGGGAATCTGTGGTACAGAGGCAGTGGCAACAGCATCACTCTCAGATGGGAGTGAATGCGACGAACTTGGATTTGCAGGAGCGGTGGCGCGATTCTCAATGGGCGTTGGTTCAAGTAACTTGAGACGCCCGTGACTGGGTAAAAGCAAGCGCTACAAGCGAGAATAAAGACGAATATCAGTTTTCAAAGAGGACATAAAATGTTCAACTTTACAGAAAAGTTTTCAAGGTTTTGGTAACAATAAGAGTCGAATGAAATTGTCTGAGCAATAAAACAAATGTAAAATTAGATTATTTATTTTTATTAAGCAGATGGAGAATTAAGAAAAGTAAACTAAATCATAGGTACAATCACCGCGAGGCTGCTCACGGTAGCTTGACTAAGTCCGAAAAAAAAGGGGCTGATTTGTAAACGCTAACATTGAGTGAATAATTTCAGGTTCAACGCATTCAGCAACATGTATTGGAGGGGTTTGAGCAAAAAAATAATGCGATCGTGTATGTAGATAGGGCACAGTTAACAAAGTGACCAGTGAAAGCGCGTAAACGCCTCAAATGATCTTCACATCAATAAACAAACTAAGTAATTGCAGTGACGAAAAGTGACAAGCCGCCAAAAAAACCATAATTTTTAATCTGTGGGTGCCATTTCCCAAGTTTAAACTACTGAAAAATTACAACCAACCAAACATGGAAAATAGCAACAGCAAGGTAGGAAAAGATCGTACTGCACTCTGTAGGTCCACACCTATTGTGCCGAGAAACATAGAGTACGTGTGTGATGAATTCCATACGGGACGAGAGGCAAAGGATTCTGGATGAGCAGACACAGAGCTTAAAAGACTTTAAAGTGGAAAAGTGATTTGATATGGGCGCGCAAAAATAGTTACATTACTAATAATTCATAAATTAACTACTTTTGCACAGCTTCGGAGGACGCCCTCTCCCAGAGAGCTAATTGACGAGCTCTAAATGCACTGACAGATTTGGGAGATAGTTCCGACGGGACAAACGTGTTGAGTCCCGCTTCCTTATCAGTGAAGAAAGCTGCCTCAAGAGCTGTATGGGTGTGGACTAAAAGATTTTTCTAGAAATGAGTGAAAATCATTAGCGAATGCGGCACTGTAAATAATGCCTGTTGGGCAAAAAACGTACAACAAGGGGATAAGCAGGAAGGGCATTTTCCGTTATATGATTGGGTTTTTTGAAACCTGAGAAGTCTGCATCGAACGCTTTCTGTGATGTACCGAATTCATCAAAGAAGTCTTGTTCAGATTCAGCAGACTGAAACGCTGCAAATTCATCAAAGGTGTCAATTTCACTTGAATTCCTGGAATAGTGCTCAAGACCCTTGAGGACGGGTTTTGATTCAAAGAAAAACGTAGAAGCATTTTCTCCTGCGTTCATGGAGAACTCAGAGTTGACAATTTGCGCATCATTACTAAACTTTGAGGAGTCAGGACATTTAGCACAACCAGAGGTAGTACTGCGGATATCCAAATCGCAAGATTCTGATGATGAAAATTTTGATTTAAAATGTATAGGAGGTGATTTCCCATTGCACACAGCATGACGACGGTCGACGTTATAAGCAGGCGTCCCACAATGTCTTCCATCAGCAACCAGTGAAATACGGCGACATTGGAGGGCCGATTCTTGACCGAATTCATATTCCCTGCTTTTGAGCGTTAATATGTTTTTATCAAAAAGAACATTTGTATCACATCCAGAGAGAGATGGGCTAGACATGACACGAGCTAAATGGGATGCGAGATCCCCAACACTTGCGCCAGGAGGAAACTTGGGAGGCATTTCAAAATCCGAATTGTTCAAAGACTGATCCGGCGTACCAACTTCATTAAAAGTTTTTCCAACGACTCTCTTTGGGTCCACACGTGCAGAGAATAAATTTAAGGAATCAAAATCCAATGCGCCTACACGGCTCATTGAAAACGCAAATCCCAAAGCATCGATCGGCGATATTTGCAGTGGTCGTTCCTATTGTGAATAATTAAAATAAAATAATTCAGGTTAGAGTCACCTTGACCCATTGTATTAGACTTAAGGAATGCATTATACATTTTGGTTGTTTTTTAAAAGCATTTCAGAACTGGAGTTAAGAGGGCAAAACGCTAAGCTCACAGATTGTATAATAACAAAATATTCTAATAAAACATGCCTCTTTTGGGTGGACTCACTTTGTCCAGGTTTTGGCTGAAAGCAAGGCCGAAGTAACAACATAACGCTTAGCGTGAAAGTCACCGACTACCTACTATGGCAGTTTAACACATTTTCCTGTAGATCAATCAATTCGAATATGTAAAACCAAGAATTTCGCTACCTGTGTTGACAGAATTGTAGAACTTCGGGACCTCTCACATGGTAGAATAAGGCATAACTTAGGGCTAAATTCACGTATTTATCAGTAAAAGGAATTGCATTTTAGCCTCGCCCTAAGCCTAATCCACGAACGTAAATGCGACTCTCGAGAGTCTTTACAGGGGAGAAGGAGGCAATAAGTGTAGCCGAACACATTTATTCTCGACAGACCAGAGGGACTGAGCATGAGCTTGGCCTAAAGCCAAATCATAAAGTGATCGCCAAAAGTCAGTCGGTCGCATAAACAAGGTATTACACTGCCCATCTCTTCTCTTAGAGCAATATTCTCGAAGCCTCCCGTGGTACACCTCCCGAGTCATCGGAGCAGGCACCCGCAAGCCAGTAGCAACGCTCAACAGCTAGAATGAGACTGAGGAACGGTACCTGGTCTATCCGGTAACTTCAAATGGAGATGGAGTTAAGTTCGATCCGCTAGCCAGAATCGGGGCAGCATACATCTACTAACCATCAAATGCCTCCAGGACTAGATGGTGGAACTCGGGTCTAAAATACATGTGTAACGGGACCAAACACTGTTCCCTACATGGAGAGAGCCTTAGTGTCATTTCCACCACCTATACACGGATTTGGTAGGGGAAATTACGACGCGAAACATTTCCAAATGGCTCATGTCGGTGTCGCTTCAGTTGTTAATAGCCTGTTTGTTGAACACAGGGACGAGTTGAGGCCAAACGCAGACATCACTGTCAATCCTTCTGTTGTGAAGAATTCAGAGATTCTTCCGCCTCAAATGTAAGTGCGCCTCCTCCAACCCCCTGATACGGCAAAATACGGTACATGCTAGGATAAAGTTGTTAAAAAATGTCGAGTTCGCTTTCCACCGCCACCAGTGTAGCGTCTCAAGACTTTCCACAGGGTAGAAGGCAGCAAGTGGAGCTGAATGCATGTACTCTAGAAAGAAAAAAGAGGATCAAGCATGAACTTGGACAGAAGACCATCCCATGTGTACAAGACCGGACATCAGGTGGTCACACATACAAAGTATTAAAGTAAAAGCAATAAGATTATCATATAACCACCAGACGTACAGGTGGTCCTATAAACAGTGTTGTAGGCGATCCTAATGGCAGCCGTATCCTTTCCGCTGGTTGAACAAACGTGCAAATCTCTCGATTTCGTGTTATAAAAACTACCAATCCAAGCATTATGTCATCAAATAGATAACATAGTTGGCACCACTTTGGCATTTGCCGTTGCTTACAAGCTCATTCATTGCGAATAGTAAGCACACGCATGTGATGCAGAGCTTCTGGCTCCCTAAACTATTGTGTTAATAATGACTGCTGCTTTCTACTTATTCAATGTTTTTTGCTCCGTAGGCAACCTCGCAGCATTCGGAATGGCAACGCTATCGTACAAAGATTCCCCACTAAATACAAGACTGTATGTAGAGCTGGATACTCGTATTCAAGTAAAAGAGTAAGATGTTTATTCGTGATTGGCCTTGATATCTGGAACAGAACAACGATTGCGGAATTAAGGTATCCTAGTTAATGCTCAACGAAAATAGCGTCTTTCAACCCCTGTTTTTGAGGAAATCAGTAAAGGTGAGGTCAAGAATCTCGCCTCAGTCACATAGGGGTTGAGGACTTACGTAGTCGGCTTCTCCATGTATTCCCTCGGCACTGATTGCATCGAGATAAACGCATGGGCGATGTATTGATGGAAACATGAAGGACTTCCCCAAAGAGAGAAACTCCGTAACACTCTGCTTGCTTACCATTATAGTTGACGGGCACTTAAGCAGCCATACCACTTCCTCGCGGCAAGCACATATAGCGTGCATAAGCAATACATCTTCTCTCTCTCTTTGTCAACCATTGCTTTAATTATAAACCGATTCGCATAGTCCTGTAGGATAAAGTTTCGCATATAGTTTCACTGGTGGCATCTATACCCAGAAGTAGCGAGAAAGCATTAGGAACACTTGATCTGCTTGAATCACCTTAACGATGATGTTCATGATAGTGCTAATCATAATGGACCCCTAAATCTTAATACATGGATCAAATCCACCAACAAACACGTATGATTCGTTTAAAGGGTGCCATGAAAATTAAGCCGAAGTTCAGTTCAAACAACCTACTTAGCTGAATTGCATGCATTGTGCATCCCGATATAAAAAAGGAAGGGTGGTTTGTATGCAGCCGACTTATTTGAGCTTCAAGGAAAGTGACACCGAGAATAGAAAAATAATCTTGAAGCAACAAATATGCAATTACAAAATTCTAGGACTTACATTTCCTTAATAGAATACACAGTAAAGGTTCGATTGACTGGCTTTATAATACCCAGTTTAAGTGACCACCTGATTTCTGGCGGTGACTTTGGCAGTCGTCTCCCAATTGTGCGCGTGGTCTGACCTTCGGACCAACCCAAAGCCCAGAATACGTATGTCGTTCTGCCCAACGTGATGCTTTCTTCCATCTGGTGGGCAGTCTCTGGGTGCTACACCAGTGGCAGCCTAAAGCAAACCTGACACTCACGACTTCTGCCCTAGTATCCACTGTTTGTGACATGCATCGACAGTGCGGAGAAGGCTCATTTACACTGGATGGAAGAACGTCTGATTTCCTCTCAACAGAAGGGTTGAAAATGACGCCACTGTTTTGCGCCAACTTGCAACTGAGGTTCATAGACAAGGCATTAACAACTGGGACGATGCCACCGTGAACCATCTGGATAAGTTTTCTGTCGGGATTCGCCTTACTACATCCTCGTATAGGTGTCGAAGACGGTGCTACGACGAACCTCTTTCCATACGGGACTGTGCTCGACCCCATCTTCCCCTTTAAGCATCTGTCGCAGATCAGT